CCGCTGAGCGTAACTTGCGCAACGAGCGCCGCGAGAGGTGAGAGAGCTGGACCCGCCTCCGGGAGGCGAGTGGGTCGCGCGCCCTGTGGGAGAAGGGCCTGGCCCCGCCCTTCAGGAACCAGAGCCTGGCTCTCAGGAGGCTTTTCTCCGCTTAGGGCCAAGCAGGCGCGGGTATCCCTGGAGCTGAAGAAAGCAGCCAAGCGGACAGTGAGCATCAGCGAGTAAGAGTGGGAATGCGCCTGGACCTGCCTGCCGAGCCTCGGTCGCTGGCTCCGCCCCGCGTGCTCTGGAGCGCCCTGCTCTTGAGCCATTACAGTTCTACCCTGCCCCCATCTGCCTGCGGCTGCCTGTGCACCTGACTGCACGTGTGCACAGTTGCAGTGCCGAGGCCCCCACGCTGACAAAGCCCAGCACACGAGCAGACACGTGTGATCATAGGAGCTAGCACACGCGCGCCCACACGGACCCCTCGTCACTGGGTCTGCACATCTTCACTCAGTAGGGCGCAGGGGCATGGAGGTGCCAGCCTGGCCCTTTGGCTTTTCTGAGCTTCATTCTCTCTTCCAGGAGCCCAGACACACTAGGTGATGGGATCACAGAGGAAGCAGAAACTCTAGCCCTGGCTGCTGAGTCAGAGTCCCTGGAGAGTGAGGCTGGTGAGAAATGGAAGAGGCCCTTCAGGTGAGGACTGCCCCAGAGCTCTGAGCTGGGCCCCACCCCACCTCTACGACTTTGGGCCAGTTCTTGGGTTGAGATGGGCCTTGAGGAGAGACTGGGGTACAGTTCAGACCTCCAGTGCCTAGAGCCAGTTGGGGTCAGTGCCACCTCAGGGACCCCAGCCTCTGACTTCATCCCTTTTTCCTCCTTCCCAAGAGCAGAGCACTGGGGGTGGGATGTCAGGCTGGTGAAAGGGTGTGACCAGGTGGCAACCTGTGGGCAAGGCCCAGGGCTCACCTGTCATAGGCATGTGTGTGCATACACAGGGACATCAGAGCACGTGTGTGTACAAGCTCAGGTGAGCATAGCTGAGTGCTTGTGAACATATGAGCATGTATTGATGTGAGCTCTCATGAGTGAGTCCTGACTGGGGCTTCAGTCCTTGGGTGCCCCTCCCCTTGATCTCCCCCATCTGTCTTGATTTGCCTGGCATTGAGACTGCCCCCTCCTTGCTCCATTCCCCAGTCTGAAGGCTCTCCTTCAGCCCTCCCTTGTAGGTCACTGGTGTCTAGACCTTAGGGTAGTGAAACCAACCCTGGGGAAGGGTATAACATGCCAGTCCTCAAAGCCTTGGCAGCCCCGGTGGGAGCTCTCCTGGGCATTTTTGAGGTCACTCAGTGGGTCAAAGTTTCCTTACCCCCCTGCCCCCAGCTTTGTGCTATTTCAGCCTGGGGGCACCTTCACACACACCCCCCACCCCCATGTAGGTACCAGCTCACCCTCCCAGGAGCTTTTGTTGGGGGGCACTTGAGGTGGTAAGGTAGTTCTTAACCATTGTGATGGAAACTTTGGGAGACTTCATTCCAAATCCCTCCCTGCCTCCACCTTCCTGGGACTACTCTAGGTCATCTTGCTCTCCTGGCCTTGGAGGAGCCAAGTTCTTATCCCAGCTCAAGAGTGTAGCTGTCTGCACACCTACTGGCCAGTCCCTTAGCATGTCTCTCGATTCTGCCCCAGGTCTGCCTCTGCCACCTCCCTGACGCTGTCCCGCTGTGTGGATGTGGTGAAGGGGCTTCTAGAGTAAGTGTGTGTGCACTGATGTGTGTGATGGGGTTGGGCCCCTTGGATGCCTGTGTCAGGCTCCTGGAGCCCAGGCTTGGGCTAGGTATGCGCTTCGGTCTGCCTTTCTGTATGTTGCCCAGCAGTCTGTGTTTGAGTCTCTGCTAAGCCCAAGAGGCAGGAGCTGGGTGCATGGCCTCATTCCCAGACCCTGCTGTCCTCCAAGGCTCTGTCCCTTATCCAAGGTCCTCACAGGGGACCTAGAGCTCCAGCCTGAGGCCAAACAGGAACTACCACTCATTTGGGAAGCTGAGGCTCAGAAATTTCAGGGGTTTGTTCATGGTCACAGTGCCAAGCAGTGGGAAGGCCAGGACTGAAACCTCAGCTCTGAGATTTCTTTGCATCCACCAACACTGCCCTGCCTCTGTGCCTGTCTCTGTGTCCCTCCTGTCTCCACATTGACCCCTGGGGTCAGAGGCTGGTGGGGACTGTGCTTGCTGCATCTCTGGGTCATGTTCTGCTGCCTTCCATGTTGCTGCCTCAGAGACGCTTGGGTCTCCTGTGTCAGAAGGCCTTACTGAATGCCCTCCTGACCCTCTCCCCCAGTTTCAAGAAGAGGAGAGGCCACTCAATAGGGGGAGCCCCCGAGCAGCGATACCAGAGCATCCCTGTGTGCGTGGCTGCCCGACTTCCTACTCGAGCTCAGGATGTACTGGTAAGGATCTGGGCCACGTGCATGGGGTACTGATATGGGGGTGCAGGTCTCAGGGGTGGTCCAAGGAGGCCAGGAGGCAAGGCTGGGCTCCTCATCAGGGGCCAGAGTTTTCTTCCCACAGCCTGTGGTGGGAGCCCCTTGGCATTTTATAATGAGAGGGAGAGACAGGAGGTAGGGAGACCAGGAGGCCAGGTAAGGGAGTATGAGGTAGCATCGGGGGAGGCTGCTGCAGGGGTCCAGTAGAGGTGATGCGCCCTGGCAGGGTCAAGTCTGAAGCTCAGGTTTGGACAGAGACCTAATGTGTGCATGGAGAGATAACTATGTGCATGTTTAAGAGGTGTGTATGATGAGGATCAGGGGCACCGACCTCCCCTTTTCCCCACAGGATGCCCACCTCTCCGAGGTCAACACTGTTTGTTTTGGCCCCAACAGCAGCCTTCTGGCCACTGGAGGGGCTGACCGGCTCATCCTCCTCTGGAATGTTGTGGGAGGTGAGGGTCTCTCCCCACAGGCAAGCTTAGTCCTTTATTTCCAGGTCCCACCCTTAGCTTGCTCCTTGGTGTTTTCTCACCTGGGACATTTTTGTGGACAGTGGTCAGATGACCCCTTGGCAAGAATTCTAGGATCACTGCTCCTAAGAAGGGCAGAGCCTCCCACCTCCTGGGGTCTAGGCCTGTAGGATGGAGAGGGCTGAGTCCATATGGTCCCTGTTAGGGGGAGTGGGGATCCCATGTCATCAGATTTTACAGGGACAGGCCCTTGAGAAGCAGATACCAGAGAAGCACCTCCTCTTTCAGAACTCAGTTATGGGACAAGTATTAGCTATCTAACCTGTGTGCTCCAGAGAGGGGTGCACTGGGGATTGAGAGATGGCTCCTGGAGGCTTCCTGAAGGAGGTGAGTCTGCAGCTGGCCTGGTCCTAGTTTGCCATGTGACCTAGGGACAGTCCCTTCTTCCTGGGCCCCTCCAGCTGTCTGTGAGATAACCAGTAGCCCCCTGGGGCCCCCTGCTGGCAGTTCAGGAAGGTGTAGCCTTCAGCTAAACTCCCAGAACAGACCCAGCAATTCTTTCTGTCCTCTAAGTGGGGAGAGACTCATTTTCCCACTCACAGTCCAAGCTCCTCAGTTTCATGAGATTAGTGACCTCATTTCACCCGTTCCTTCTCCTGATCCTCCCCAGGTCGCCTGAAGGCCAACCAGACCCTTGAAGGAGCTGGCGGCAGCATCACCAGTGTGGACTTTGACCCCTCGGTGAGGGGACTTAGTCCCAGTAGCAGGATGTCCCTCCCCTGGTCTCCACACTGGGCAGGTTGGGGCTCTGGGACTTGAGGGAACATCATGTTTATCTTAGAGCCAGGCCCTCAGGCTCCTACACAAATCCTCCTCTTTGGGTCTTGATTTTCTTCTGCCTATGTGGGTGACCTGGGCTGGGAGATGCTCAGAGGCAGCCCCTGCCCCAGTTCTCTAGCCTGCAAGCTGTTGCCTCTGGCCAGGCCCAGGCCCAGAACCTCTCATTTCTACTCCCATCTCCCCAGGGCTCCCAGGTATTGGCAGCTACTTACAATAAGGCCGCCCAGCTCTGGAAGGTGGGGGAGGCACAGTCCAAGGTGAGACCTGTTTGGGAAGGCAGCCTGAGGGTCAGTGGTCATGGCTGGAGGGGTTTGTTATGGGGTCTTGGCCATACTCTTAATCCATATCTGGGATGGGGGGCAGGAGACACTATCTGGACATGCAGACAAAGTGACAGCTGCCAAATTCAAGCTAACACGGCATCAGGCGGTGACTGGGAGCCGGGACCGGACAGTGAAGGAGTGGGACCTCGGCCGCGCCTACTGTGAGGCCCAGCTCCCCTCAACCCCCTTACCCACCCACCAGGAGCCCCCAGGCTGGGCCATGAGGGACCTCAGCCTGTTCACTGGGAGTGGCTCCAAGATTTATAGGCATCTGGGATGAAATCTCCCAAGGCCACTCTTCTGTCCCCCGTCAATGATACTTTCCTTGGATACTTGGTGACCTTTGGGCTGAGAAGCAAGGGACTCAGGTTCTAGTTTTGGATGGACACTGTCCCTCTGGGGCTTCTGGGCCTCAACTTATCCATATGTCCAGTGAGCTGGCTCCTGATAACCCTTTTCTCAGGCTAGGTCTCTGCTCTTTGGTCCCTAGGCTCCCGGACCATCAATGTCATTTCCTACTGTAACGACGTGGTGTGTGGGGATCATGTCATCATTAGTGGCCACAATGACCAGAAGATCCGGTTCTGGGACAGCAGGTAACAGGCACAGGCCATGGGTGGTGTAGATGTGGGGACAGGGCTCCTATATTCTCTTCCTTTTTCTGGCCATTGAGTCATGGAGGGTAACTTGGGGAAGTGAGGCTCTGGTGGCCTCTGTGCTGGGCTTGGTCCCTTGAAGGCTCAGCTGCCTCAGAGACCTGTGCCTCTTTCTTATTGGCTCTTGGTCCAACCATTGGACTCTGCCTGGGTCTTGCCTACCAAGATGGAGAAGCCTTTTTCCCCTGTAGTCACCACTTTTTAATCAAAAGGAACAAAATGTTTAGTTTTTTGAACCTAAGAGCCCAGCACTAGGCTTGAATGATTCACATTCAAGCCAGTACTGGAGCCAGTGCCAGGCCTGCACCTGGCTTCTCCTTACTCATCTGCAGTTAATTGCCGTTTGAAACCCTTTCCTCTGTCTTTCACACATTTAAAGACAGACTTTCATCGCTTTCCCTCTGGCACTTATTTTAATGACCCAAGGGTTTCGGGGGTTCCAGCTTCCAGTCAAAGGCTACCGAAGTTCCCGGTGGAGGTGCTGGCTCCAGTGGGAGATTAGTTGTCAGCCTTGGCCCCAGGGATTTGAGACCAGTGGTGCCTCTGAACTTTGTTAGCCTGTCAGGAGCAGCCTTGTCAGGGTGGGCTGCTCCTCATCCCTGTCTCTGCTCCTCAGGGGACCCCGCTGCATCCAGGTCATCCCTGTGCAGGGCCGGGTCACCTCCCTGAGCCTCAGCCACGACCAGCTGCATCTGCTCAGCTGTTCTCGAGATGACACTCTTAAGGTCATCGACCTGCGTGTCAGCAATATCCGCCAGGTGTTCAGGTACCTGCCTCATGCCCGCTGACCCTGTGGCATTGGCTGGGGCAGCTGGGCTTCTTGTCCCTCGTAAAAGACCTGTTAGCAGGGGGCCCTCCCTGGAGGCTTCTCTGGACTAAGGCCTGCTGAGCTGCCCAAACCCTTGACGGAGAGAGGAAGTGCTAAGTTCCAGGCCAAGGGCAGGGACTGGCAGCCACCTCCATTCTGACCTGACCCCATCTGTTCTCAGAGCTGATGGCTTCAAGTGTGGCTCTGACTGGACCAAAGCTGTGTTCAGGTGTGTCAATGAGAGTGCAGTGCCTGTGCCTGAGTGTGCCCCATCTGACTGTGTCTGTCGGTGTGTGTCCCTGTCCTCCCCTCTAATCTCGTCTCTTGCTCTGCTGTGGCCTCTGCAGTCCAGACAGAAGCTACGCAGTGGCAGGTTCCTGGGATGGAGTGCTTTACATCTGGAATGTAGACACTGGGAAACTGGAGAGCAGCCTTCAGGGACCCCATAGGTGAGCACAGCCACTGCCTGCCCACCTCAGCCCCAGGGCCATTCCCACCCTGGCTCTAGTCTTAGTAAGCCAGTTTCAGGTCCTGATTCTTGGGATGCTGGAGTCCCCAGCCCTTGTCCCATACCTTCCCCCTCCACCCAAAGAGCTCTTCACAGTTCACAAGGTATCTTCCCACATGCACTTGGGTCTACCCTCACCACAGCCCTCTGAGCCCATTTTACAGGTGATAAGATGGGCTCAGAGAGGGCTTTAAACTGCCCAGGTCCAGTAATAAGGGGCAGAACCAGGGGGTCCTGACACCCCCTGAAGCCTGCCTCTTCCTCTTCTCAGTGCTGCTGTCAATGCCGTGGCCTGGTGCTACTCTGGGAGCCATGTGGTGAGCGTGGACCAGGCCAGGAAGGTTGTGCTCTGGCACTAGAGCCACAATTCCCCGAGCTGGAGCTCTAGTCCGAAGCCTGAAGCTGGACAGCTTCCCACCGCCCAAGAGGGCTCCAGGGCCAGTGGGGGTTGTGGGGGTGGGGAGGGCTCAGGGCATTTGGTGGGGAAGAAGGCCTGGCAGGACCTGGCCTGTTTGTTTAAAAACAAAGTGTGGGTTTTTTGGGGGTGGGGTGGGAATTACAGTATTGTTTTATTTTTTATTTCTGTCTCCTCACTTTCTCTGGCAAAAGCGGAAAGAAATTGCATCTAAACTGGTGTCTGCTTGCCTCTTAGCAGCATTCAGGAACAGAGAAGCCTTTGGGCTAGAGGCTCAATGAGACCCAGGCTTGGTTCCCTTTCCTTCTCCCACCCAGAGTTGGGGTGGAGCCAGCCTGGCTTCTGTGCTGTTCACAGCTAATGGATAAGACTGTGAAGAAAGGCCTAGAGGCAGCAAAGGGCGGCAGCTTTTGGAGCCTTGGAAGTTTCATCCTAGGTCCAAGCTGGTCCTGGTCTTTGGGCCCTCCTGCTTCAGGCTGGGGAGGGTCCATGTGAGTTCTGAGGAGGGAGCAGGGGAGGCAGCCTAGAAGAGCCCTGTGGAAAGGATCCCAACAAGCCAGAGTGATGTCAGGTACTCGGTAGACCAGGCCTTCCTTTAGACTAGGGCCACGTTCTTGCCCCAGAGGCAGAGCCTGGAGTGGTTGGGAAATGCCCTCTGGGTGTCTGTGTGTTGGGGAGGGCAGCCGTGGGCTGGGCCTGGGCCTGGGGCTTCACTTAGATCAGCATCAGCTTTAATCCATACGACAAGCCTCAGGAGTACAAGATAGACCCAAAAGGGTAAAGCCTGGGCACTCCACTTCCTTCCCAAACCTAGGGCATGGCAGAGGGTCAGCAGGATGACCATTGCCAAGAAGCGGAAGGAACTTCTGTCTTAAGTGATTGGGGCTGACTTCTGGGGGCCTGCTCAGTTGAGATTCAAAGGATTTACTCTCGAACTCTCAGCCTTTATTACCTTACAGTCTCCCTTGGGGATCTTTGCCAGTCCCAGGGTTTTAGAAACCATTTCTAGGATGGGCAGCAGAAAGCTAACAGCCTGTACTCTGCAGGTAGACCATCTGGGTTTGAATCTCTGCTCCACTATTAAATAGCTGAATGATTCTGAGCAAGGTACTTAATGTCTCTGTGACTTAGTTTCCTCTTCTGTAAAATGGGATAATAGTAGTATCCACCTCAAAGGTTGTCATAGTATTCAGTGCATTAGTATTTGTAAAGTTCCTGGCACATGCCAAAGGCTACGTAGGTGTTGGCTAAATACCCAAATCTATACTCCACTGATCTCAGCTCACTCACTGCTATTGGCCTAGCTGTCCCCTGAGATCCAGGTGACATAACCCAGCTGCATCCTGGGCATCACCTCTTCCTGACATAAGCTTTTCTTCCCCTCACACCTCCTATCCTTTGGGCACCAAGGCCTGGGTCGCTGTGTCTAACTCCTTTCCATTCCTGCTGCCACTGCAGGCTTCCTTCTAGACCTGCTATCTCCCTACCCAGTCCCCTCCTTGCCATGGTCAGAGTGACCTTCTAAGGTGCCATTGTTATACATCGAGCCTTTTGAGGTTTTCTGCTACCTGCAGAGAAACTCCTCACCCTTAGGATGTGGCCCTGCTGACCTCAGCTCCATCTTCACTTCCTTGCTACTTTGAATGCGTCTTGCTGTGATTTTCTCTGCCCAGAATGTTCTTCCCTCCCAGGCTCCAATTCAAATTTGTCCTTCAGGATCCCCTCACTAAGAGCCTTTCCTCACCTGCCAGGCTAGCCATGGGCCTTGTCCGTCTCTGTGCCTACCCCGTTTGTGTCTGCCTCCCTCCATTTCAGTCAGGGAGCTTTTGGAAGAGACCAGGATGGGAGCAAAGTATTTCCTAGGATCAGCCCTCAGATCCACAGAGAAAACCTCAGGAAATGTTTATCAAATGGTAATTCTCTCACTTGAGGACAAGTCTTAACAGTCGAAGACTTTATGAGTCCTTTGAATCTAAGTCTCCTGAAGGCCTGGCCCTCATGCCCTGGCTCCCAGTGGCCACCAGGGGTCACCAGCTGCCTAGTTCTGCTGAGGCCATTCTCCTGCCTCCTGAGTTCATGGCTAGAAAGATCAGAGCTTCCAGTAGCCACTATTACTGAGCTGTGTCAGGCCCTGTGGCCCTGTGCTTTCCACATAGTATCTTGTTCTTCCCCACCACCTTGTGATGTAGGTATCTCTTTCACAGAGGAGAGAATTGTAGCTAAGAGAGGGTAAGTGATATGAGATCATCACAGCTGGCATAGCTAGATTGTGACTGTTATATACTTTTTTAAACAAAATGTCAAAGAATCTAGGCTCCCAATTAGGCAGAGCTGCAGGGCATTTCCCACTGCCCCAGCCGTTGGTCCACTGCCTCCACCACCTGGTAGGTGATTCTAGCTTTATGTCTAAACTAAATCCCTCCCTGCATCTTCTCTTTTCCATTGTGGCTGTGGGTGCCTAGGCCTGAGCCTGGAGGGTTAGTGTCCTTTGAAGTGAGGGACATGCAGAGCCACAGGAGAGAGGTGAACTTGAATCCTGGCAGACTGGTACCAGCTATACTATCTAGGGCAAGTACCTCACAGGACTGCAGTAAAGACTGCTTAGAGAACACTGAAAAAGAGCTCAGGGAATGATCCAACTCAATTCCTGGGATGGTGACCTTTCACTTGCCTTAAGTCTTCCCTTCATTTCATGGGGCAAATCTTACCACACACCCTTGCCTCACCTCAGGGAGCACATATACACCGTCACTTAGCTGGAGGGAATGCTTCCTGGAGGAGAAGCCTGGAAGGTCAGAAGCAGGCACAGGCATTCCAGGGAATGAGGCAAGCGTGGGGAAAAGGGGTGGCAAAGGCCAGGCAGGGGAAAAGCTCAGAGGAGTGCTGGCTGGGAAGGCTGCTCTCTAGTCTTTGCAGCCCGAGCAGCAGAGAGGACAGGGGTAGAATCCTGTGCTGAAAATCGCTCTAGGCTTTCCATTCTCTCCAGGTGTTCAGCAGTTGGTACTCAGGTCTTCAGGACTGAGTACCCTCCAGGTGTTCAGTCCTTAGGTGGTCAGAGGCTGCCTGCCTGCCTGAGTTTGTTCCGTGATGTCAAAACTGTCACCTTTGCTGTGCACACAGACTGAGGCCCAGAGAAGCGCCAAGGCCTTGTGCAGGGTCACAGCAGAGCTGGGATAAAAATCCAGGCCCAATTCCCTCTTTTCTAGAAACTGGATTCAGGTTCTGTACCGAGCGGCTGGCCTGGTCCTCTGGAAGCCAGGTTCCAGGTTCTGCTCCCAGCTGTCTTCCTGAAAGACCTTGGGCAAATCACAGTGGATGGCGTTTCCCTGTATGTGAGACTTCCTGCTCCACAGCTCGGGGCCTCACCAAAGGTGACCTGGCTTTTTTCCAGGGCTACTGCACAGGCATTAGTAGCACATCCTCTGCCTGCCTGAGACTTGAGAGGGAGAAATGCCAGAGGCTTTTGTTCTGGGCTCCTACTGCTCCTTGGTCATCCCCCTGTGCTGGGAGATGTACCTTGGCTTGAAGCTGCTATTCCTGAGCTGTCCCCACCAGATGTGAGCCCCTTGGGGATGGGGATGGGAACTGAGCCATTTGTTTCTCCAGTGCCATGTTCTGGGTCCTCCTTGACCTTAGGAAGTTTGAATTGTCTTCTCATTCCTACTTTACAGATGAGAAAAGCTAGGCCCAGAAGGGTGAAGGGACAAGCCTAAGGTCACAGCTAATCGAGTTAGCCCAGGGATTTGAATATAGGACTTTTGACCAGGCTCTTCCCCTGCCCCTCACAGGAAAAAGTTGGTGACAAGAAGCACACTTAAGTGTTTAGCACAGTATGGAAGGGTATGAACCCTACCTGTGGGTTCATTTCTGTTGTTTCAGGATAACATTCCAGGAAAATACTCCCAGACGAGAGCTGTCCGAAACAGACGTGGCAGAAGTCCTGCCTTTGTGTTTTTGGCCAGTGGGACCAAGGGAAAATAATCCAGGAACAAGATGCTCTTTGGCTTCACAGGGTCCTTGGCAGATCAGGCAGTAACAGCAAACACGAGTAGTGTCTAGGAAGAAACTTACACTGGTTGTGCCAAGTTGTAGGATTTTGGGATAAATTACAATTCTTCCCCTTCTAAACTAAAATTCCAGTAACTTGGTTGTATTTTTTCATGAAAGACAACTTCATAATGAGCAAAATACAAAGATTCAGCCAGATTTTGCCATAATGTAACTCCGAATGGGTTAGGAAATAACTGTCCTCACAATTGAAAGCTTTGGCTGAGCTCTGGGCAGTGAGCAAACAGTGCAGCCTGGGGTGTGACTGCAACCTAGAGGATGGTTTGCTTTGTCCTATTGGAAAGTCTAGTGGCTGGAATTTTCTTTTCAATATCTGGCCATACCCGAAAGTCTCTGTGTTAGTAAGTCTGTTCTCAAATACTGTAACCTTTTTGTTTGATGTCCTCACTCTGTGTCTAGAAACTGATTTTACCTAGAAGATCAGAGTTGGATAAGCCCCTGGAAATCTTCTCATTCTACTCCTTTTAAAGCTGAGGATTTGGCAGCCCAGCAGAAAGGCTGTCCATCAAGTGGTGGCAGGGCTACGGCCAGAGGATATCCTCCCACCTGCATCTGTCTGCCTTGTGGATATGGTCTAGGGTGGTCAGAGAGGAAAGCGATCCAGGTGATGTGCTGTGAATCTGGCTTGACTGCCTTACACTCAGTTCCTGTGATGGAGTCCAAAATACAGCTATGATGCAGAGGTGGGCCATTAGCTTAATTCTGTCCCCTGGTCACAGACCAGGCCTCCAGTGCCAACAGTAGTCTCAAATGAAAGCAGCCTTCATTAGCACGGGAAGGCAGCAGAAGATGGAAATGGTATTAAATGTGCACTGACAGCCCTTACCATATTTATGGTAAAGCACTTTCACACCCACACCTTCACTTGAGCCTCATGACAAACCTGTGTTACTGAGAGGCTCAAAGAATAGCGAGGACCGCAGTTCTGTAGGGGAGGCCGCCGAAGGTGTGGGAGGTGATGGTGAGGAATGCTTGTAGAGACCACCCTGTGCTGCATATTTGACATATCCTTGGATCCACAGCATTATTCTCAGGTTTCTGATGACACTGAAGCTGGGTTCCCACAGCTGTCAAGTGGGAGCCAGGATTTAACTCAGACCTTCCAACTCCAAAGTCCATGTTGTCATCTTCTGTGCTCTTGGTGGGA